CTGCTGAATGCTCTCCCACTAATAATGCCTTTCTTACTTTTTATCCTCAGTGTGGAATCAAGTTTATTTTTGGAAGCTTATTTTACAGTTCAATGTGTTTTTAGTAATATTATTTCTAGTTACAATTTATAGATTATATTTTCTTCCATTCTGATTAATCTGTTAAATAAATATGCAAGTATCAAGTGCTCTATATAAAAAATACATACACACGACAAACCACCCCTCAAATAATAAATCCAAGATTAATAAAAATATGTACTATATTACACACATGAAATAGCCATCTAGTTTTGTAACTATAATGAAACTTAATTACACATGGATCACATGACATAATCTAAAAAGAATCAGCATATATAAAATAATGTCATTGCCTCTGTAAAAAGAACTTGAGCATCTCCCTATTTAAAAATATAAAAAGAATCTAACCAGTGTTGTCCATGCATTTATAGCTACTGAACATTAGATAAACTAGGAAGGAGTCTGTGGATTTCTCCATTAAACATCTGAATAGGGAGATAAATAACATGCCAGAGCTTTTTTCTTTTTTTTTAAAGAAAAATTTAGCCTTCAAGACAATGAAATATCTCCTTTTGATTGAGACCTATATTTAATTAGGATTTAGAGAGAGGAATAAGTCTTCCTCTGGTTCACCATACTTAGTGAAATGAATACATAACACCAGTTTAAACACAGCCTTCAACAGATCATTTTGATTTATAATGACAAATAGAAAAGCTTGCTTTAAAATATTACAGGAATTAAACAAAAATCAATGCACAAAGTCAACAGACTTCCCATTACACAGTTCAGTATTAAAATACATTAAAGGTCTGAGAAGTTTGACAGTGGACCACAAGTACTGATAGTGTAAATCACCTTGACCCTATTAACTTCAGCTTGTTTGAACACCTTTGGACCACGAGCTGTGTGACTGTTCATAGTTGAAACATGCTGACCTACATAAAGTCAGAAAAGATCCTATATGTACTTTAAAATCACACCTCACCTTGGGACCTTTTGCCCAGGTGTAAATTGCCTCTGAGATCTGCCTGCAGATACCAGAGCACTAAGCAACTCAATGAAACACATAGGAAACTGCTGGAGGGCTCTGACTGAGAAATATAATCAACAGTCTTGTGCTTTATGTTTCAGTAAAGATCTGTGCTAGCTAATGTTAGTATTTAGCCAGCTGAATACTCATCCTCCAAATTACTTCAGATGGAGAACATAAAATAACATGCTTTAGCAGAACAGTTTCAGAGACAGGTGCTGAGCAGGAACACTTGAATAACCCTGCTACAGGACATTCCCCATCCCACAACTGACACAGACCACTGGTTGCAATTACCTTAGATCGTTTTTACTTGCATTTTTTTGAGGCAGCCCAATTAGAAGTTAACATTCTCTCTCCATTCCAATGCGTTCTCTTAAAAATGGCACAGACCGCTGGTAGTAAATAATTTTCTTTCTGACAATTCATATCAATATAATGCACAGCATCATAGTTTAATACAAATACTTTACATAACAGACACATAAGAACAAAACAAAAGCATATAACAATGCAGCTGCAGCTACTTTACTATATTACATGGCTGCGAGAGTTTCCTTTAATTTCCTTTGATCTTTTCTGTAGAATTTGAACTTCAGGTACCAATAACCAAGCAATGTTTCTTTCGGTATTTTTAAAAAGCAGAGGGGAAGACGTGGATGAAATAGAATTTAGAGGAAGTGAGCGAGATCACAGAAAGACAACTTTTAAAATATCAGGAAACTGGTGTTTATAGTTATAGGGGAAACAAGTTTTATGAGGCTCAGCATCTCCTAAGTAAAATGGAGCAGAAGAAGATAGAGACCTATTCTTCAGGAATAAAATACTGTCACCTTCCCTAATGATCTCCAATTTTTTGAGTTGTGCATGTGTGATAGAGCTGGGGTCATTCTGTTTTATTCATTAACCTAACTAACAGACTCATTAAAAACATGCACAAACTATGACCAATGAAGGAGCGAGGGGGAAGTGCAATGAACACCTCAAAAACTTAAGGATAACTGTACAGATTGTTAGGATAATAAAGTATGGAAGTTTATTATGCATCAGCTCATGTTTTCATCTCTTTATTCCTCCTCCCAAGAAGACTTGCTGTATGCCCATAGACATTTAAAAATAGAGATAAATAAATTTTGTCCTTCTGGGTTTCCCTCATTGCAGACCAAGCCATAAATCATTATAAAATGTCACTTTTTTTTATACTGGCAGACTCTGAATGCACCTACTGCTCTTCCTGGCTGGAAGGCATTTCTGAAGGATTCAGATGTTTTAGACATTGTATAGGAGGCCTTTTTGGTTTAAACTTGGTTTTTGCTCTTCACATTTGTTCCTCACTTATTCTTGTGCCATGGCAAGTTTAGTACCTTAGATGCCTGTAAGATGGAGTGACTGGATACTTCTGTAGCTCCGCACAGTGAAGACCCTCCATCTGGGGAACAATGATGTAAACTTGCATCCCTCCTAACACCCAAGACACAGTGAGTGTCCTCTGTGTAGGAACTGGGAACTAAAAACAATATGCAACTCTTGGGGGCTTATTTCAGAAAGCAAATATCAATTTTGTAACCCAGACATAATTTTAAAATTATTAAAAATTGAATAAAATTTATGTTTAATTATGTTCAAAAGGCATCAGTAGCAGAGTGCATCTATGAATTCCTGTCCAAGTTCCATGTGATTTTGATTTCCCCAGCTCTGATCTATTTGGCAACTTGGTGCCATTACACTCCACTCTTCATGTCAAGCTCCTGATGATTTTGTGTTTCATTAACGGTCAGGAATTCGTCACATGCTCCTGTTCGGTCATTTGACTGCTCTTTATGAACCAAGTGCACCATTTCTTGTGATTTGCTGGCATCTCCATTTAATCCACTTGTCTTCCTGTCCTCCACTGCCCTTTTGCCATTGTTAATCACTAGCTTTTTCTTCTGCCCACATCTAGAAAGAAAGAAAAAGAAAATACGTACTATAAATGGAGACTAACAGAAATAAGAAAAAGGCTGAAAGTCAGTATTTAAGATGCTTGGAAGTGAAACTTGCGTCTGCCAGTGCAGACTTATACAATGTAAAGTGCAAAGTTTCTCCATACTGCATATTTTATTTTTGAAAGCATCCACCGTTACATGCAGAAAATTTGGCAGGAGCTCACTTATTTGATTTGTATCTATCGTTACAGATAGGGATAACATTCATTATTGAAAGCTGGAAAAGATTTTCTAACATTTGGATATATCTACATTTATGAACCTTGTATATATCCCACTATAAGGACAGGGTCATTCTAAATCCAGACTTGGGACCACACCTTTGAAAATGCTCAAGTTCTTGAGACAGCTGAAAATTTGGATCAAGGTCTCACCTCATTATACAAGATAACTTTTTCCTTCTTTGTATTAGCATGTCAGGCCTAGAAGCCTCCCAACAGTAAGGACATACAGAGAACTACTCTTGCTACTATCAACAGCATAGCTCCTTGTGATATTAAGGTAGGGAATAGCTACTGTGCTTTCAAAGTTACATGCACTGCAGTGCTGCCCAATAAACTCTATATGTAGTTCTGAATGAAAACACACACACAGAGTCAGTCTTTTTAAAAGTCACAGTCCAAAACTGGTGCATGCTGGTCAACATGGGCTGAGTATTCTTCAGGGTAATAAAAAGGTACACATCTGTCAGATTTGCCCCAGACTCTTAAGATGGTTCTCTGGCTACATAGTGCTGAACATCCTACTAGGCCTTCAACAGCCTTGTGTAAACTGAATATACAAAGCACAGCTCTCTTAAGAGGGACAATGTCTCTGTGAATTTGTACGTTAAAATGCTTTCTTAAATGACACATATTTTCAATATGAAATGAGTATTCTCAATATGAATGACAAATCTGGCAGTTCAGTTATACTATTATCCTTCTGAAATATTACTTTTTTCATGCTTACTGACTGATAGATGAGGGTCATTTTATCTGAAGAAGCTCAGTTCACTGTGCTAATGTAACACACACTCTTGGGAATGATTCCTGCTCTGCAGCCATGAAATGATGAAAGAGGCCAGCGAGGAGCTGTAGAGCTCCACAGCCTCTCAAAAGAGCAGCTCAGAGTGTCTTTCCTGATGTGGTGGTCAGGCTTGGCAGCATCTTTTGTTGGACCCTGGAAGGAGATCCTAACACTTTTACACCATGCACCAGGCAGAAGCAGTTGTCTTTGCAACAAGAGGAATAACTAACTAAATAGGACCACACTGAACTTTGGCCATTTTGGGTTTTGGTTAAGATAATTTATGTCAACACCAATTTAAAAAAAAAAAAAAAAAAAAAAAAATTAAAAAAAGGAAATACTATAGCCAAGCAATTTTCTAGTTACTGAGAAGGCCCAACTGGTTGTTTGAAATGCTGGAAATCTCTGCCATACTGACCTCCTAACTAGAATGGCTAAATCTATTGATTTCTGAATCAGGAAGTTAACTACCTTGAAACTAAGGCCTACACTTCATTAGGCTTTTTCAGACAATCAGAATGAGACTGAAACTGGAGATGCCGCAGTTTGCATTCATTTAAAAAATGGTGTAACTGACAGCATTACATAAATAAAAACACAGATCGTTCTCACCTTTTAAATAAACTAATGCTTGAAACGTTCTCAGCTTACTGCTCAGCTAACACTGAAATGTTCAATCCTCCTTTCTCAGCTATCCAGTTTTCTGATAACAGTGCTGCAGTGTTAGTTTTGGATTAGTTGGCATTCAACATGCAGTATGCTGACTGCACAGCAACTTTCTATGAATTTTCAGCATATTTCAGCACTTATCAGAATAGATGAAGAAAGGATTCTTGACTTATTCATGTTATCATTTGGATCCTGCTAAAGTGAAAGAAAGAATTTCACTTGTTTCAAGCATATCAGGGTACATCCCTGCTTCAAAAAGTTTTCCTCACAGTGATTAACACATACTACTAGGGTCTAATCCATGCATTCATACACATATATGTACCCACATAAACTTTCTTCCTTTGCAACTCACTCTCAGCTGCATAGAAGCTCGAAGTAAAAGATATGGTTTCCATTAATGGTATCTAGGGCATAATTTACAGCTCTGAGATTGTTTCATTTCTTGTCAGATGCAATCTATAATTAGCCATAGTGGCCCTGCCTGTCTGTTCCTGTGGTGACTCTGGGTTATGGGGGAATAAACAATGGCAGTCTCTATTTTTAAAGGCATAACAGAGTAACATATAAATCAATAAGCCATGCCGTTCAGGCTGTGTAACTCCAAAATCACTTCACAGAAAGAAAGTTATAGAATTTTCTGTCTCACCATATGCTTGATTGCTTTCTTATTTCAACAGGTCTCTAATAATACTATTAAAGAAGCACTGATATTGTGGATACAGTCATAGGGCAAACATACCAGGTGGTATCTCACTACTGACTTGAGCAAAACTGTATCAGTTTACTCTGTCTGCCAATGTGGCATTTAGTTTGCACTGTTTTGTCTCATAGAAGCCTTCCACATGATGGGCAGGGACTGCCTGTGTTGCTCCCTCACCACAGTGGCAGTACTTTATTCTAGCATCCATGCCATGCTTTGGAGAACAATATTTCACAGAAACATTAAAATGTGCTTTCCTGCAACAAACAGACTAGGAATAAATTTGCTCACTGCTTCCTGAACAACAATCTCCACATATTATATGGTTACAGTGATAAAAAAAGTTCAAATTCAACATTCAAGTAGAAAATAGTTACTCTGTTAAAGGGTTCAACATTCAAGTAACAAAAAGCCCTTTAAGACAAATGAGAAGTAACCTCAGAACAGCACCCAGAGAAAAGAAAAAGTTAAGAACATTAGAAAAGAAAGAGTTAAGGACATTATAGCCTATCCTTTAGGCTAGAGTTTTGTTCAAATTTCCTGGCTAACTTTGCACAGATCACTGTAACTTTCTATTCCTCACCTTCTTCATCTGTAAAGTGGAGTAAATAAAGCTATTGAGTGCTCAAATAGCAATGTAAGAATATATCCCTGTGACTGCCAACTGTGTTACTGCCTTTTGTTTGGAAGGAACAAATTAATCCTATGACAGCAATTGTCTAATACAGCCCTTCACACTGTATGCAGACAACACTGTTAATGGTGGAGCATTATACTCAGCTCATCCTGTGGTTGCTGCTGTCTATGTCCATCTCACATAGTTTTCACTCTCAGTGGACAGGATTTTCCTATTAATAAGTAATAGGTAGAGAATAATTAATTCTCTGTGATCTATATACAGTTACTTTCCATTTACAAGTAAAGACCAAATGGTTTATACAGCTACTGACTTCACATGTGTGTGAAGACTGATGTGTGACCTGTGTAGGACATAGTGACCTGGGCTCTCACACCTCAAGTCACAGACCTTTGCAGAGGAACCTCTTTCCTGTGTTATGTTACTCTGCTCTTTCACAAAGCTTTGAAGCCTCTCAATGAAGAAAGTAGAAAGGCAGTGTGTTTTGAAAAAGTAAAGGGGCTACCTTACCTTCTCCGACTGTTAACAGCAATGCACACTGCAAGAATCAATGCAAGTGCCACAAGAGCAGCGACTATGATCAGCCATTCTGTGGGGAGAATTGAGGGAGGGGAGTGTGTTAACATATCTCATGTAGTTTTGCTATTTCCCGGAACTGCAAGAACACAAACTGTTTTACATTCTTTGAAGTGTCAGACTTTTTTCTTAGCTTGCATGAATGTCTGTTTGTGCTTCTGTGCAAATCAAATACATTTGCATCATTCAGCTATACACAGGTCAACCCAGATTAAATATCCCATCACTGTTAGGACCTATAAGCACTGTACTTTTGTGGGCACAGGTAAAGAGGAGTTGTATCACTGATTTACTCCAAGACCAAAAGAAAAGGCTTAGCAATGATACACCTGCAATCCCAGGCGCAAAAGCAGGATGACTTTCAGGTAGAGTGAAATGTTAATTTTTTTCATTTAAAATCTTACTTTAAAGGCTATTTTGGGGGAAAACTCTAAAAAAAACCCCAAAGAACTACAAAACTGGAAGGGATCCCAAGAGGTTCTATCAGTTACATTTCACTCCAGTGAAACGGGGTCAATAAGAAGATGGCTGAGGAATATTCTATTTGCTCTTAACATTTTTACAAAAGGAGATTTCACAGCCTCCTCAGTAGCCTATTTCTTATGCTGTACTACCATTACAGACAGAGATCCTCTCTGAGCTAACTCCTTTGTTTGTTTGAAACAAATCTCCTTTTTTTAACAAGTCTCCTATGTTTCATTTGAAACAAATTACTACTTCTAATTAGTTAACTATTATTACTCCATGGTGAAAAACTGATAAGCATTCTTTTTCTAGCATACTCTTCTCATATCTCCCTTCAGTTTTCTCTGAAAATGATGAGATCTTCAAAAGGTGCTTCAAAGGTTACCTTTCCAAAATTTTCTTTGTGCTGTTCTCTGGTTTTTCCTATGTGATTAATGCAATGCCTTGAACTGAACACAGAACTTCAGCTCTGGACTTGTTAGGCTTAAGTAGAGTGGGATAATTACTTTCTCTGTTTTAAAAATTACTTTACTGTTAGTATGTCCCTGAATATATTTGCATTGTTTTGCAAGTGTGTCATGGTGTGGCTTCTATTCCATTTTAATCTGCAAGCCCTATTCTGCAACACTCGTCTCAGCTATTATTTTCAACAAACACCAAGTATCATGGATATGATACTTTGCATATATCTTTACTGAATTTTGCCTGATTTCATATCAATTTATAAAGGTTATTTGGATCTTAGTCCCATTCTCCAAATGCATGATTTCTCTCATCTTGATATTGCTTGAAATTTATATGAGTTACAATATGCTCCATTTTTCAGACTACTAGTGAAGATTATGAATATTATCTGATTCAGAACAAAGCCTGAACAACTATACTTGGCCTACATTTTCATCTCTTACTTCAGTTCACATTAATACAATTCTGTGCTTAAATTGCTAAAACATATGACTTCAAAATCTTACCTGGTACCTGGGCTGACCTTGGTTGTGAAACTATTTTTGTTGTGGTCTCTCCAGGGAAAGTAGTGGATTCATAATGTCCCTTGTGTGGTCCTTGATTACCATATAGAATGGATGTAGATCCTAAAGAAGAAAACTATCCATTAGGCCAAATATGCTTAGTGAATATTTAACAGCAAGGTACAAAGACTATGACTTTCACAATTAAAAAAACATATTCTAGAAAGTTCATGCTGAGGTCATTAAAAAGTATTTCATACTGAAAACTATTAGATAGACTATAATCATCATACTCATCTGAAATATGGCTAGTTTTAGTATTTTGAATAACAAAATTAATGTGTTTCCCCTCTTGCCTCTCTCGTATGTTCCAGTTTTGATGCAATTATGCAATTGCCTAGAAATTTTCTGGAGAAAATGTAGACATGTGAATGTTGGCAACTTTTTGAAGAGGTTTTTGTCATACAAGTCAAACATCTTGTCTGTTGTGAGAGAGTGAGAAAAGAGAGAGAGGTGGGGGGGAAAAAAAAGATCCTTACTTTTCTATTTAAACCCAAAATGACCAATATGGAGAAATTTTGAAACTTTTAATTTTATTCTTACACAGGATAGATCTCAATTTCTAAAACTCTAATGCTTTAATAAAATAGAAGGATAGTTCTCTGAATGGTTTCAAATTCGATAGCTATACATAGAGTGGGACTTTAAAAATTAAAAATATTTTTCCTAATAGAAAAAAATGTTCTCTGTAACTTAGAAGTGGTTCCCCTTGCCCTTTTTAATAGGTATTAGATATTAAATCAAAATATGTGCTTCTAGTCTCAAGTATTTGCTATGCTGGCCGTGCTGCTTGGACTTCTATGCAATTATATTTCTGGCCCACGCTGTTGTCATATGGGTATGCCAAGTCTAAAATTATCAGCAGACTATAGATACAGTGATTTGATTTGGGACTACTACTTCATTATAACTACAAAAAAGATATTACAGGTCTCCACCTCTCTCGATTCTTCCAGACTCTAATAGAGCAAATTAAGCACTTATTCTAATCAGCTGTAAAGTTCTTTAACACACATTGCAACTAATTTCTAGCTAGCATTTCTGATCTCATTTTGTAATAGCAGTTGGCAAATACAAGACTGAGAAGCATGTTTTGTTCCCCTCTGTTAAGCTTAGCCAGCAAGTAGTTCATGAATTTTCCAGATGTTTTCATTATTTTTATTAACACGAAACTTATTGACTGGCGAGTTGGTTTGTGCTACCTCACCACAAAGGACACAGCATTAATTCAGCAACTAAGGGGCCTGATCTAGTCTCCAAGAAAGCTGACCAAGAGGAACATACTCACATGTCTACCCCACATCTCAGCATTTTTTTTTACCGTGCTTTATATCATCACTGAGAAATGCCAGAGCTTTTCCACTACAAAGTCCCTTAGAAAGCCACACAGACATTTATTAAAATTCGTGCTCTTAGAGAACTGCTGCATTCGTCCTTCCCCTCCCCTGAGCACTGAGAAGCAGCAGCAGGATTCAGTCATGTCCCCTGTTGTTCTGGCTCTACGGAGGTGCAAAGTGGCAGGGAGGGATCCTCCAAAGCTCTCTATGTTTCATTTTGATGACATACTAGATTTTTTTCTTTTTGACAGTTATTTTTTTGGTTCCTTCAGTGGACTGATTTGTTATTCCATGTACAGTTGGATGACAGATCAGTCATTACTGTGATGTCAGACCACAGCTTAAACATTGCTGTAGAGAAAAAACAAATGAAAGAAAGTAGTATACTACATTAAGCCATTCATTCGTTCAGAGAAAGCCTTTAACTATAGTCTGCCAGTACATTAATGAATCGTTTCCATTCCATTACAGCTATATGCGCAATGTTACAAATGAGTGAACCCTTCAATAAATAAACTTTTTTATGATGATGGTAGTGTCCTAGTAGTTCCATTGTATTGTGTTTTTAGAAAGCACCAAGAGAAGATAAATGAAAAAAGGAAGAGTTGTGGAAATATGGTCTTATAAGCCTTTGCCAGGGCACTAACAATGCAAAGATTCAACACAGACATTCACCTTGAAAATGATCTTCAAACCAGCTCTTACAGGTTTTATGTGCTCAAAACGGAAAGGTAGAAAACTTTTTTTCATAGTGTGTAATGTCTGCACATAAAATTAAGGAGGTAGCTTGGATTAATTCAGTGAATAGGGCAGCAAAAGTAAAAAAATTAGTTTGCTGTAGTAGGAAACCATTATTGAAAATAGATTTAACTTTCCAATAAAATTCTATCAAATACATATTTTGCATTTATATCTCTGTGCCTGTGGCAAAATACTATAACTCAAGCAACTTTGATACGGTTGATTTTACTGGGTTTATATAAAAATAATAATAATAAAAAGAAGTAGGCCAAATTCTACCTGACAAGGTATGAATTAATATTAATTAATTTATTAATAATAGGATTATCTTTAAAGGATTTGCTGTATAATGCTATAAAAATATAGGTACATAATCCTGCTCATGTGCAAAGAATGTCCACAGAGTATTGGCCATAATAAACCCAGGGATGGTTCCACTAACATCCAAGAAAGTGCATGAAAATAGTGTTTGGCTTAGTGTGCATAAGAAGCAACATTTGGAAAAAAAAACCTTACTGTTAGGATCATTATTTGTATGGAAACTGCATTTGGGAATAAGAAAAAGTCCCTTCATTTCCTGTACTATAAGCGTGTGACCACACACACAAAATACGAAAGGTTATATGTAATGTAAAAAGTAAACACTGTTACTGTTAACTGCACTACCTCTATCACAATAATAATACTTCAAAAAAAAGTTGTTCACAAATGAAATGTCAGTTACAGCCTGGTAACATAGCTAAAATTCATAACTGGCAAGATACCAACAGCAAATACACCCAGAAAAAAAAAGGTTTCACAGAGAATGACCTTCCTTTTGATATATATTCCACTAATGTAGAGGGAACACAGATGGGAGGAAAAGTGACATACAGTAAGTGTTACATAGTTATCATTTGTGCCCAGCAAAAAAGACAGACAAAATGCTATCATGTATGTATGGTCATGAGACAAAGTTTACACTTGTTCACTGTAATAGTTCTGTTACCACGTACAGATAACAGAATATAAGAAGAGGTTATTTGCAGAACACTATTTTAAGCCTCTTAGCAAATGACCTCTGCTTTGCACAGGAAGAGATTCCCTTTAAAGACATCTTATAAGCAGGATATAAACAATAATAAAAAACAAAAAGGAAATCATAATATGACAATAATTCGCAATTATGATTAGTGGACATGTTTTTAGACGATTGCCATTATCCAAAACAAGAACCTGCTGATGGATAAGCGAAAATGCTCGGAATTTGTAGTTCTTCTTACTAGTAGGAAGAGGGGTCTGCGATTGGTTAA